GTGGACTGAACATGAAACAATTAAGTTGTCCCCATCCAACAAAACTTTTTTTCAAAACTTGTTTCAGTTCAAGTCAGAATCATTAGTCCCCTGTTTATTTTTCCCCAATTTCTGTTCAATGGAGAGCAGATTTTTTTCAACACATTTCTTAACATAATAGTTTAATAACTCATTTCTAATAACTGATTCATTTTATCTTTGCCTTGATGACATTAACTAATATTTTACTAGATATTTTTCAAGACACTTCTATACAGCTTAAATTAGGCAAGTTATTGTATAATGATGGTTTGTTCTGTAGACTAAATATCACTTAAAGGTGCTAATTATATTAGAACAAATAAAACAAATAAGACTTTCTCCAGAAAAAAATATTATCAGACATACTGTGAAAATTTCCTTGCTCTGATAACATCATTTGGGAAATATTTAAAAAAAAGACAAAAAAAAAAAAAAAAATCAAAGGGGGCTAATAATTCTGACTTCAACTGTATATATGTTTAAAAAAGAAATTCATATATTAAAAACTTTCAAGGATTTAAGATGCTGATGACAAATCTTCAGTCTTGTTAAAAGGCTCCATATATCAATATAAATAGATTCAATCAAAAAAAAAAAAAAAAAAAAAATATATATACAAGAAGAGATGCATTCTGGAATGCAATATGATTAGTGCTAGATATTGTAGTGCAAACGGGAGTAAATGAATTAATAACAATAGTGCCAAATACATTGGCAACCTGATTTCACCAATTAGGACTTGTTCCTTGATTAACATCTATGTTGATCCTGGAACGAAGTTCCAATCATCCAATCAGAATTAAGGGATACATTTTCTGTTTATGTTTCTGTTATCTCAGTTTAGGCTTACGGTTAGGTTTATGCACTTCTACATGATTGGTATCCAACTATTATTCCCCTCTGATTTTGGGAATAATTTACAGTTATGGTTAGGTTTAGGGTAGGAAATAGGTATAGTTACATGCAAAAATGATGTTCCAGGATCAGCTTAGATGTTGATCTAGGATCGTATTGTCTTTGGTAAAATCTTGACATGCCAAATACATGCTGCATCTACAGTAAATAATAAACATAAAAGTAACTGTATAAGATTTGTTTAAACACATGACAGTTATGTACAGATTAGTGCAAATACGCATAGTGGGTTGTGTGTACTATTGTGCTTGTAGATGTGATACATTGGTTTATTGTTCAATAGTGTTGTATTGAGAAAGTATATCATAATTCAACAATAATGAATTTTAATACATATATTTTCAAATGTATTTTAAATTGGCTAAGCTTTTTAGTGGCCATTGCTTTATTTCAAACTGCCAATTTATATGCAGTGCTGCTGCATATTTAAGGTTGTTTAAATAAAATCCAAAGATAGCTAAATGTTGAAAAAGAAGTGCTATTATTCCAGGTTAAGTAAGAATCAGAATTAGGATTTTTATTGTTATATTAGATTAGATTTCTTATTTTGAATTCTCTCATGATTTTGAATTGACTGCTTAGCAAAATGTGTATTTTACGGAGGAACAAAAATGCATGCGTGTCTAGATTGAGACCATTTTTTTTTTTTTTATATATATTAATCATGCAGCTGAACTATGTAGAATTAAAACATTATTTATATATAACTATAATTACTTTTTTGCTAAATTGTCGCTTATGCATTAATTTCCCTTTTAAGTTTAGTCTCCCTCAAGCAACAGTATATGCACTTAAAAAGTTCAGTCAGGGTCTTTAGTTGTATACCAGTCTGTGGGCTCTTCCCTCACATACTGGCACCAGCTGGTGAGTGTTTCTGCCAGCTACAGCTTCTACACAGTTGGCAGAATCAGTGCTTCTCAATTCAGCAATATCCGACCAATTACTGAATCGGATAATGCTTATATGAGACAAGAGGCTAAGAAAGTATGAGTTTGATTATCAATTGAATTTGCTCAATATTTGACAGTAGTCTAGCTTTACAACCTTTTTAGTTTTAGTTCCCCTGTGGTATTGTCTTCCAGAAAACCTCTTTTTATAAGCCCAGGTAAATAAACGTTTCACTGACAATTTTAACCATTTGTATTTTGGAATTGGAGTGGAGTTAGTATCTGCTTTTTATGCAAGTTCATAAATACACTGCCCAGGGATGGCATAATTTTTACACTGTTTACTATGGGTTGGTTGCTTACCAATGGACAGTACCTCATATTTTGGCACAATAGGGTATTTCACAATTGAATTATTGAACCCTGAGTCATTCCAAACTAGGGCTGCACAATATGGGAAAAAAATGACATTGCGATATGTTTATTTCTGCGACATGAAGATTATTTTGACTTAAAGGTGCAGTAGGTGATTGTGTTCAAAAACATTGTTGTTGTGCTGGTTGAAATTCTCTTCACATTTTAATAGGCATAAGACTAAAAAATGTTTTATTCAATTAAATATTGTCAGGCCGATAAATTCCATAATTCAAATAAGTAGCCCTAACTGTCAGCAAATGTAGATTTGAATACTGCGCACCTGTTCACGCGGAACCGCCGATGTGCGTTTATGCGGGCCGCGGTCAAGAAATTGAATTATCAAACAATGTATAGTCTTCATTTGATAAATAATTAAGCTCAATTAATCTTTGGCAAAGCGGCAAACTTAATTTCTTGTTCTTAGATGGTTTAAATTTTCTTTAAATCCTAGTCAGTCTGTCAGTTAATTATAATCCCAACTCCTGCAATGTGACTATTGTAGATGCGTACATTGCAATATCAATGCTGAAACAACGATATATTGTGCAGTACTATTCCAAACCATGGTAAATGGAATCCTGATTTTTCCTGGTTCATGTTTGACACTCATTCTTTACCAGGTGTTAACAATTAATCTTGGGTGTTCTTAAGATAATGTTTTACACCGATTAAGGTCAATATTTACATATTTGAGTTTTCAGTGTCATTGTTTGGATAACCGCAGTATGTAACCTGTTTACATGCTTTCTAAAAGTATATACTGCAAAGTATACTATTAAATATTTTTCCTGAATTGATCTTCCTTAAAATATGAAGGTAAGAAATAAATGGCCTCTTCACACTAGTTCATCTGTTTAAAAGTGGCATGACATTTTTTGTTGATTTGTTTGTTTGTTTATTTATTTTTAAAGTGTAAATTAGTGGTGGGCAAGACTCTTACCGCGCAATAAAAAAATATGGCCGTTAATCTATTCGCAGAGTTGGGTTGGGAGCTGGGTCTATTCTACGCAAGCTATGATGACTTTTACCTTAATATTTAAGCGTGGATTGATACCTGACTGGTGAGCTGTCTGACAAAAAAAGTGCCCTTCTGAATCAAATCAGCAAGATGCCTGACTTTACCTGCAGTTCGGCAGTTTTACTTTAGCTTATAAACATTTTATGCCGCCGTGACAAAGTAAGAGTAAATAACTGATGAGAGTGTTTTGGAATTTAATAAGGCACGTCAAATGGAAAGAAAAAAAAAACTTCTGCATTTCGCAATGTGTGTGTGTGTGTATGTGTGTGTGTGTTTATCTGTGTGTGTGTGTGCGTGGTCTATTACAGACAACCGTGTGTGTGGATCTTGTTGGAAAGTATGGCAAAAAGTCTCACATGACCGTAATAATTTGATCGCTGTTTACTTCAATAATGCCACTAATATATGCATACTCCACTTCTTAATTCCATTTCTGTTTAGTTCAGTTATGATGGATTAAGGTCATGAAAAATCGCTGTTTCGAGCTTATGTAGGCCTAAAGTTCAAAATACATGTTTAACTGAATAAACAGTTAGTAAACACAAGTACATCTTATTGAACATAATTTATTTTCATCACCAATTATCATAGTAGAACTGTTTCTCAAGCAGTCTATGATGCATTTTTGAAAACAGGAGATGAGCCCCTGGCCTAATGCACCACCTGGCTTGAGAAACCCTTTCTCAAAGACTTATTATTTGGGTAGCACACATATTCTGATGCCTCAGCCTAATTTAAATAAGCCATTTTAATCTAGATTAATCTAGATTAAAACTAAATAATAATTTATGCCCACCTACATTATAATACAAATCAGTGTTAACTTTGCTTTTAAATTTTATATGTAAAACATTAATTTACCCAGGGTTGATAATGATGATAATGCATGGGTAAATGCAGTGTGAAAAGCCCTGCTTTGTTGTTTAAGCAGCATTTTTAAATGTTTACAGGAAACAAGTCAAATGTAAGTGTTTTATTCTTACCTTTATACTCCAAAAAGATCATTCAAAAAAAAAAAATGCTACAAATGGGCATTATATATTGATGTGCTATGCTAGGCTCTATGTAAAGTAATCACAAGCTGTTGTTAGCCCATAAAACACATGTGTCAATTCCAGTTCCTGGAGGGCTGCAGCTCTGCACCGTTTAGTTCCAACCCTAATTAAACACACCTTTAAGTCCTCAGGCTTGTTTAAAACCTACATGCAAGTGTGTTGGAGCAGGGTTGGAACTAAGCTCCAGCAATTGAAATTGACACTTGTGCCATAAAGCATAAACAGAGCAACAAATGAAACCTGATTCAATTTACTTTGATTTAATATGACCAGCATCAACCATTTTAACAAGTTTCTTCTTGACCCACTAAGAAATAGGGTGCTTGTTTACTTGTTATTTTCTCTTTGCTACTGCTGTACACTTTAGAGCAGATATCGCCCTCTACTGGATGAGTGGCTCCATTTGCCATTGTAGGATTACTCAAATTAACGTGTTTGTGTGTATTTATCAATACATCTTATTTCCTTTTTTCAACTGAACAACCCTCCTAAATTCCATGCAGATTTCTGTGTTGTCCTCTGCTTCATACACATCAATTAGTTTATATTAATTAGTTTAATTAGTATATAATTATATTGATGATTTAAAACAGTAGTTAATACAATAGTTATGTAATAGACAAAACATTTGCTTTGTGCACTCTTATTTGAAATGTTTTTTCAGAGTGGAACTGTGCTTTTGTTGCAGTTAAGCCAGCCCCTTTGGAAATCAAGCCTGTATCTGAATGGGAGGAGTATACAGCACCGGTTCGATCGCCCGTCACCAGGTCCTTCACGAGGGAGTAAGTGTCAGGCATGTTCGCTCTGAAACAGACTGTTATTTAAGCATGGTTCTGCATGGCCTCCACACAACAGACTCCACAGGCTAAATAACTAATCATTCATGCATTTCTCTAGTCTTGTCCTAACATCTCATAATAGTACAACAATAGTGTTGATAGTATAACATCGTCATTAAACTGTGCTCATAAGTGAATCGACTGTCATCACTGCTTAACGCCACATAATAGAAAAGCAGTAGTGATGACAGTCCAATAATGCCTTGAGTTTTGTTCTTGCATTATTTATTGAGTTGATGTACAGTATGTGCCACATGGCCCATGTTTCTGGAAGGCTGTTGAGAGTGTGTGTTGAGATTTTTATTTATATGACTGCCAGTGTGTGTTTTGGATTCCAGAATATTATCCAAGGAGGTCCAACTCAGACCATGCATTAGTCTAGAAAGCAAGAGTTTGTGTTTTTGTTCTATGTGTGAGTGTTTGTTTGTATGAGCGGTAGTGTAAATGTTGTCCTGCTGCTCAGCCCTTCTAGGTTTACTGTGGCCCCCAGACCGTCCTCGGGGCAAAGCACTGCCTCCAGCAGCGACTCGGACGAGTGTGATGAGAATTATGTAACCATGCAGGCTAATATGTCTTCAGATGAACCAGTATGTAAAAACAAAAAATAACACCACAGCAATTGTTCCACTCAATGATAAATATACATAATTCATGCCTTCATATATCTTCAGTTTCTTCCCTGTTTTTCAAATTATTAGGGACCAAGACTAGATTGAGATTTAAATAAATCATGAGGGTGGTATTTCTGTCTGTCAACAGACTGAATAGAAGGACCCCTCGCTGCTTTTCCTACTTTTAACTCATCCCCCTCAACCAGGTTTCCTTCAGTGTCTGTCTGTCTGTCTTTAATTTCTATTGTTTCTTTGAAGGGCCTGAAGTCTTTGCCGTGTCATCTTTGTGTTTCATTTTGTGATTCTTATTTATTTGAATGCTCCATTTCCTTGATATGCTTTTTCTGCATGCTTTTGTTTGCTAGTATAATGCTAACATAACAAGCTAATGGTAAACACTGCACAGTGTGTCGCTGATGCGCTGCCATCACTTGGCAGACTCTTTTCTCTTCTTCTTTTTCAGTTTCTCATTCTCAGCATTCTTTTGTCTGGCTCATCTGAATCTTGCATTTTTCATTTCAAGTTACTCTGCTTTCCTTTGCCATTCATTTCCTGTTTACTCTTTGATTTTTCTGCTCCTCCTCTTCCTCTTGTTCCTCCGTCCTGTAGAGAGGAGTCCTTCTACTGTACAGTTCCCATCACTCCTATAAAGAGAGAAGTGTCAGGTCTAGACCACCTGGATGAGGTGAGCAGGGTTGAGGAAGTGGACCGAACTCCATGTGTGTTTTACCAAAAAAAAAAAAAAAAAACGTATGTAGAGGCAATTTATTTGGTTTTTATTTAATTTAATTTATTTTTTTAATTATTTTGAAATGAGTGGAACCAACATTTCCTACATGGAGTTATACGTGTATGAAGCCTTTGAGTGTAGATGCATATCTAAATTTTTGTTAGATGAATTCAAAGATGATTATCAATGATTGATTGTCTTTAAATCAGTTAATAGTGTATGGCACATTGTAGTCACTTGATGAATTGGTTTGTACTGAGTTAGTAAATAATGCAGTGTAATAATGCTTGTTATAGACTCACCGGCCACTTTATTAGGTACACCTTACTAGTACCGGGTTGGACCCCTTTTGCCTTCAGCAAAATTTCACACATAGATTCAACAAGGTCCTGGAAAGGTCCTGGAAATTTTTATCCAAATTGACATGATAGCAACACGTAGTTGCTGCAGATTTGTTGGCTACACATCCATGATTCCATGACCCATTCAACCTCATCCCAAAGGTGCTCTACTGGATTGACATCTGGTGACTGTGGAGGCCATTTGAGTACAATGAAACCAGTTTGAGATGATTTGTGCTTCATGACATGGCGCGTTTTTCTGCTGTAAGTAGCCATCAGAAGATGGATACACTGTGGTCATAAATGGAAGGACATGGTGAGCAACAATAGTCAGGTAGGCTGTGGCGTTGACACAATGTTTAATTGGTACTAATGGGCAAAAGTGTGCCAAAAAAATATCCCCCACACCATTACACCACCACTACCAGCCTGACCTGTTGATACAAGGCAGGATTGATCCATGCTTTCAGGTTGTTAATGGCAAATTTTGACCCTACCATTCAAATGTCGCAGCAGAAATCGAGACTCATCATACCAGGCAACGTTTTTCCAATCTTCTATTGTCCAATTTTGGTGAGCCTGTGCAAATTGTAGCCTCAGTATCCTGTTCTTACCTGACAGGAGTGGCACCCAATGTGGTCTTCTGCTGCTGTAGCCCATCTGCCGTAAGGTTTGATGTGTTGTGCATTCAGAGATGCTCTTTTCACTCATTACAACTGAGGTATGCAGTGACTCACGAACGAGTGACTCACAAATGAGTTACTGTTGCCTTTCTATCAGCTCTAACCAGTCTGGCCATTCTCCTCTGACCTCTGGCATCAACGAGGCATTTGCGCTCACAGAACTGCCTTCCACTGGATATTTTCTTTTTCTGACCATTCTCTGTAAACTCTAGACATAGTTGTGCGTGAAAATCCCAGTAAATCAGTAGTTTCTGAAACACTCAGACCAGCCTGTCTGGCACCAACAACCATGCCACGTTCAAAGTCACTTTAATCACCTTTCTTCCCCATTCTGATGCACTGAGGTTTTGATAAACTGCAGGAGATCATCTTGACCATGTCTACCTGCCTAAATGCGTTGAGTTGCTGTCATGTGATTGGCTGATTAGAAATTTGCATTAATGAACAGTTGGACATGTGTAACTAATAAAGTGGCCGGTGAGTGTATATTGAAAAACTACATCTATTATACTGATTTCTCATAACCATGGAACCTTTTTGAAAGTATCCCACAAACAACTATTTTATTGCTGGAATTGATATCTGTATTTTTAAAGACTAATAGAGCATTGTTTTGAATCACCTAGATAAATATTGAATGAATTATGAAGATCTTAGGTCAGTTTGAGTTCAAAAAAGACTACTCTCTGCATATTTTGCAGATGATTATGACACTGTGTCCAAAGCTCAGTACAGATGTAATCGTCAGATTGAGTGTTGGTTGAAGGACTGCATGTAGATCGCTAGATTAGATACTTAAACACTTCAGACTGTTGACTTACATCATCACCTAGTAGCATTGTTGTAGATTAATATACCAGTAGTATACATCTTTTAACTATTTCTGATTACAACACTGACTACTGACATGGTTATGGTATACAACCTCTTTTGTAATTATTGTAATTTCTTTTTTATTTCTCAGAACAAGTTAGGAGCACCAATGAATGCTGATGGAGGTGGCAGTCCCATGGTGAAACCCAAAGGAGACAAGCAGGTGGAGTACCTGGACCTCGACTTGGACCCTGGGAAATCAACTCCACCTCGAAAGGTAAGATATATCTAGGGTGCTACCTCCCTGCCAAGGTCAGTCATCCGTAGGTCGTGTGCATGAATTCGGGTACTGGTAAGGGCAGTTATGAGCTTGGTGCACTATACAAAGGGGCACACTGAGTAATCCTCATTTTACATCATCAAAACTGGAATTTATAAACAAGAGCAGAACTAATCACTTTCATATATTAATTTCACTACGTTTTTCAACAACATTCAACATTAAGGAATTTGTCTTAATTATCATTTACCAGGAACATTTAAACTATTAAACAACTGTAAATATTTGCTAAATTTGTTTTAACCGTGTTCATTCAAATTTTACTAATAATTGGATAATCAATAATTATTTTTTAAGAAACATCTCTCGTATAATTAGGTTCACGTGATTCTTATTTCACGGATTGTCAGACTTTTCAGGGTACAAAATTTCAGTGCACTGGAAGATTTTTGCGATTGAGACAGCAATTCAAAACAGCAAATCTAAAATAGCTGTGCAGGATGCCAGAACAGTGCAATGGTTACTACAATGTCAGTTACCGCAGTCTGTACAGACACGTCATTATAATTTATGTAATTCAGTCTTTTTATTTATTGTGGTTGTCACTACTGCAGCCTTTACAGTTTGTATGTATGTGTTTATATATCTGTTTTTTATCTTTATAAATGAACAGGTGTGTGCATGTGTGTTGATGTTTGCACACAGCTTTCCCTGTCAAACAAATAAAAAAATCTAAATATCAGGTCAGGAAATATTGAGACTTTTACATTCTGATGACTTTCTCCTGTCTTTCACCACATGTAGCACAAAGTGATCTGCACATCACAGAATGTAATCGTGCATCAGAATGGGCTCTATGATATGCAAAACAGATGTTAAGATAATTAAATGATTGAAAACATGACAATAGTGTCTTAAAGGGCCATGAAACCCCCTTATTTCGGTTCAAGTCTACCTGCTTCATAATGGGCATGGAGCGCTGTGAACAGAGGGAGGAGTGGGTATGGCTGGCAGGGCAGGGGAGAAAGAGGGGAGCGAAAACTATCAGTTGGCTCACATAATGAGACACAAACTATGAGGAGATCCATGATTTTATAGCTTATAGTTAAAATAAGTAATTGAACGCCCTGCTACATTTGGTATTCATAATTTCATTTACCCATAACCACAATTTGTTACATCTTTATAAAGATAATCATGTTTATATAAACATTATAAATGAGGAGGACTTCTCTCCTCCTCAATCCCTGGATGTGAATGCAGGCGAGGTGGATAGCAGTTCAGCAGGTTTCTTTCCCTGTCTATTTCAACTATTAGCGCTGCCAGTAATCCAGCAGATTTTAAACTTATGGTGAACACAGCAGCACGGATATAGATGATTTGTCTCAATAATGAACTCGCTGATAAAAGACTGAAAGTCTGCCATACCCCAATTGTCGTACAGCTCTTTCGACAAAAATGCTTGCTGCAAACCAACGTCTTTACTGTATTTGGCCCTGACAAAATAGTGGGGAAAAACATGCAACAAACCCCAGGGTTCATAGAAACAAACACATATGACCTGTGCTGTGCAGACGCGACTGATCCAATTATTGAATCACAGCTTGGCAGGTCAGAAACCATGTGCTTTCCTGAATAATTAAGTAGCGGGGTCTTCTCATAGGATAAGAAAACTCTACTATGAATAATCATGAGAAACCGACGCGTCATCACTCCACTAGCAGATTCGTGCTAAATTATTTTAAACCCGGAAGATGAAATTAAAAGCGAAAAGCACAAAATGATCCAGTTTTCCTTACAAAAAAAAAAGCTGACAGGTGCTAAAGTTGTCTAAACTGATGCTCAACACACACAAATCTGTTAAAACTTTTAAAGAGTACTCCAGGGTGTCCCGCATCTTTCTTTCTTGAAAGAGATACAAGGATGCATGTCTGGTTTAAACTTAAAACACCAGCAAAAAATCAATACAGTGGAACATAGAAACCCCATTGCTCACTAGTGTTTAGGAGGTGTCAATGCCAGAGCAGCACAGACAGAACACACAATGACTGCAATGAAGTCAGTTACGAGCAAGGTATGCACCCTGGCGTGCGATGATCATTCAGTGCAGACGTATAAATCTGGCATTGGTGTCTGATGTTGTTGCTTTTGCTTGCAAAATTAGTTAAAGTCACCAAGAAATCAAAACTAACCATATGATTTTGTTAGTTCACATTGCCATTTTTGTGGTGAATAATTCATCAGTGCATATTATTAAGAAAAAATAGGCTTTGCTCGTCTATTCTTTAATTGAAATCTGAAAATGCACTTCCTGTTTTTTTTTTTTTTTTTTTTTTTTTTTTTCAGATTACATATATCTTAGTAATTGGGCGTGGCTAACGTTTAACCACACGGCTCCAACTGTCAGTTTTGACAACAAACAGAAGTAGTGAGGAGGAGAAGTCTGTTAGTTTGTAATAACTCTTCTAAAACTCCTTTCCCAATCTTTCTGAATGACATGTCTACTTTACTACATCCATTCAGCCTGCAGTTGAAAAAACAAGCCATACCCACTGTTTTCTCATTCAATATACTGTTTCTTTGGGAACTGTCACAATATGAAGAGAAAAAAATTAAAAGTTCCGGTCGCACCTTTTTTTTTTTTTTGCTAAAGACCATGCTATTTATGTAAACTTACTATTTTGTAGGTATCTGTTAAAAAACATTGATAAGTCAGTCAGAGTTGTGTTAATATTTTTTTAAGTTTGTTGAAAATAAATAAATAAATAAATATAAAATGTGCCTTTTTCCTATTTGAGAAAAAAGAAAAAACAAAGTCCCTGCTACACTTAGGCAGGGGACGATGATCAAGGTATATATCAACGTTTGAAAAAAAAAAATTAAAACTGGTTTAAAACCATCAACATTTTTTGTTGTACCGTTCCTAAGATATGTATATTTTTTATTTGTGTTTTTTTTAAGGTCAACAGAAAAGATATCCAAAGATGCTGTGTATGTTTTTTTTTTGTTTTTTTTTTTTGTGTGTGTGTGTTTTACAATGTGTTTTCTGTGTTTATGAATCAAATGAAGACAACACAAGATAATAATTTATTTGAATTATTTAGTCTGACATTTACTTATGAAAGTAAATCAGTTGCGAAACTCGAGAGCTTGCAAATGTAAATGTGAGCACTTGTGATAATAATATTTGTATGTGTAGGTTGAAATGTACACTTACAGCTCTGATGTGAACAGCTGAAATCCTCGATTTGCACACACACACAACAATCCACACACTTGTGTTTTAAATTCGAAGTTGCAGATTAATAGTTGTGTATTTGTAAAATGTCATTCACAAATACAAAGTGACAGACACACGTGTGCACGGCAAATTTGACTGCATCTTCGCTCTACAACCACAGGTCGGCACTCACAACCTCTCAGATTCGTCAGTACAACTACAAATCTCCCGCGCTCTGACTTTTGCTACACATCTCCCGCGATCTCTGTAGCAGAACTCATCTGTGCACTCGCAGATGCAGAGGCGTGAGCAGCACTGGGCAGGGGAGGGGCGGGGCTGGTGTAAAGCTGTTTGATTGGCTGATGCCTGACCAATGAACAATGCCAGCAGCCAACAGGACTGAGGTGCAAAATAATCATTTCCTACGATTATTTTATTATTTAGGGTTTATTTAAACTCTTTTCTGAAGAGATTCTTGTTAAAAATAATAAATTCTGTGGAAATGTACATACCAGTAAAAGAGCAGCAAAGCCAGTTTATTGGCTAGAGCCAGCCAATGAGATGGGGCGTTTCTGTTTGTCAGGACACAGGGCAGCTCACGTTGTTGGAGGCCTCGAGCAATCAGAGGGTAAGTTATGATTTTTAATAATTATCTATATGTTCAATACTGTTAGCTAAGCTAAGGACTGTGCTGGGTGCTTCTCTTGTTTGTTTCTTATATAAGAAAACAGTTATGAGTTATCTAGGAGCTGCTTTCAATCATGTTATATGGTTCTAAAGATACGATTCAACCCACATGAAATAAGAAGTTGTAATAGTATTTATAGTAAATAATAGTACGTTTTTGAACCATACTAACTATAGTAAACTGTATTATACAGTATATATTGCAGTATCTACAACTTTGTTAATGAATGCAACAGCACACTGTAGTATTAACTAGCATGAACTTTAATAAATTGAAGTATACTTGTATGTATGTATGTATATATATATATATATATATATATATATATATATATATATATAGCTTAAATTTGAAAAAATTGAAAAATAGCTATCTGTTTAAAACTAAACATTCTAATGCCATTTATTATGCAAATATCAAGTTGAAACAAATCTGTTAAGAATACGTATTTATATGTAAAACCTAATACATTTTAAAGCAGTTTCATTTCTTTCTAATTTTTACATCTACATGCATTACATCTGATTTAGGTCCACAATGTTTATCTAATGTTTAATTAGGGTTAGAACTAAACTTTGCAAAGCTGCAGCCCTCCAGGAACTGAGTTTGACACCTGTTCTGTAAGGGAATGTAATTTGTCAAATAAAATTTACAGTGCAAATAAGTGCAGTGCAAATGTCTAGTTACTTGTATTGAAATATTTCAGGGTTTTTCCTTGTTCATAATGAGATGGAGGTGGTAAATCCAACTTCATCATTACCCATCAAATGTTATCTCCTCTTTAATCCTTTGCTCAAGCCTTTACTAATGGTCAGAAAGCAAGCCATTGTGTAAAGCTGGTTGATGCTCACTGTAATAGGGAGAGATGATGACTGTTCAGCTTATGTTGCTTAACCCTGCAGATGAGATGCTCAAAGTGGACCCTCAGCCGAGCGATGGACACTGTCTCCCTCACCTAGTTGCGCTTCCTTTGAACACACATATCATGTTGAAGGATGCAAGTTGTGGACCTAAATCAGATGTAATGCATGTAGATGTAAAAATTAGAAAGAAATGAAACTGCTTTAAAATGTATTAGGTTTTACATATAAATACGTATTCTTAACAGATTTGTTTCAACTTGATATTTGCATAATAAATGGCATTAGAATGTTTAGTTTTAAACAGATAGCTATTTTTCAATTTTTTCAAATTTAAGCTATATATATATATATATATATATATATATATATATATATATACATACATACATACAAGTATACTTCAATTTATTAAAGTTCATGCTAGTTAATACTACAGTGTGCTGTTGCATTCATTAACAAAGTTGTAGATACTGCAATATATACTGTATAATACAGTTTACTATAGTTAGTATGGTTCAAAAACGTACTATTATTTACTATAAATACTATTACAACTTCTTATTTCATGTGGGTTGAATCGTATCTTTAGAACCATATAACATGATTGAAAGCAGCTCCTAGATAACTCATAACTGTTTTCTTATATAAGAAACAAACAAGAGAAGCACCCAGTACAGTCCTTAGCTTAGCTAACAGTATTGAACATATAGATAATTATTAAAAATCATAACTTACCCTCTGATTGCTCGAGGCCTCCAACAACGTGAGCTGCCCTGTGTCCTGACAAACAGAAACGCCCCATCTCATTGGCTGGCTCTAGCCAATAAACTGGCTTTGCTGCTCTTTTACTGGTATGTACATTTCCACAGAATTTATGATTTTTAACAAGAATCTCTTCAGAAAAGAGTTTAAATAAACCCTAAATAATAAAATAATCGTAGGAAATGATTATTTTGCACCTCAGTCCTGTTGGCTGCTGGCATTGTTCATTGGTCAGGCATCAGCCAATCAAACAGCTTTACACCAGCCCCGCCCCTCCCCTGCCCAGTGCTGCTCACGCCTCTGCATCTGCGAGTGCACAGATGAGTTCTGCTACAGAGATCGTGGGAGATGTGTAGCAAAAGTCAGAGCGCGGGAGATTTGTAGTTGTACTGACGAATCTGAGAGGTTGTGACTGCCGACCTGTGGTTGTAGAGCGAAGATGCAGTCAAATTTGCCGTGCACACGTGTGTCTGTCACTTTGTATTTGTGAATGACATTTTACAAATACACAACTATTAATCTGCAACTTCGAATTTAAAACACAAGTGTGTGGATTGTTGTGTGTGTGTGCAAATCGAGGGATTCAGCTGTTCACATCAGAGCTGTAAGTGTACATTTCAACCTACACATACAAATATTATTATCACAAGTGCTCACATTTACATTTGCAAGCTCTCGAGTTTCGCAACTGATTTACCTTCATATTTACTGCTCCAAAATATTATAAATGTTTCTCAAAATAAAAAATATTGTGTTCAAAGCGGAGAAAAGTTTGTTTTTTTTACTCAGACATTTAAAAAGAACTTATTTTAGAGCAGTAATCACAATACCGTGGAACCATGATATGATATTTTATCCAAGGTTATCATGCCATCAGAATCTTATACCGGCTCATGCCTAGCTACACTCAAACATTGAGTTGTTGATTTAGCTTAATCCATAATGTTGTCGTCAGCCACCTTGTGTCACTTTGCATGAAACTTGGGCAAAATCAATTTTTGGTGAAATGAACCTGATGGCAAATTCCTATAACAGAATTCCAGTGCCACTATTTTTGTCATCTCTCTATTTTTAACTTTCTTCATATCTTCACCTTGCAGAAGAAGAATAACGGGACTGGTATTTCTGCATCAGATGAGCGTGTAGACTATGTGCTGGTGGATCAGCAGCGAACGCAAGCACTGAAAAGCACCCGGGAGGCCTGGAGTGATGGACGGCAGTCGACAGAGGACACCCCCACCAAAGGGGCCAAATGACATCCATCTCTTCTGGTAGGTCAGGACTCGTGGGAGACCCAGGAAGGGAGGACACCGCACAAGCTCTGAACCTCCTATCTGGCCCTCCACCTTTGATTTTAGATACAGCTGTGTGACAGCGCCTAGGTCACAGCTCCCAGATCAGCTAGTTTACACTGCTTCCTGCTAGACGACAGTACCCACGCAGGGGAGAGCTGGTCCCAGGGATCCTCACCAATAAGCTGACAGACTCAAAAGTATGGACTGCACACTGCACAGGGGCTGAAGAACTTGCCAAGCCACTTCGGCTGAAAGCCCAGTGAAAATGATGCTAAACAGAAGCAGGTATTATTCCTACACACTGCCCACCACCCATCCACATTTTTTCGTTTGGATATCATTTTCTCCCATCATGGTATCAAAGCACATTATTCCAATGGCTTGGGGTACATCAGGTCTGTCCTCAAGTAATGTTCCATGTTCACAAAACTGCCAAGTCGAGGACGTTTTAGAAGCCTAAAATGTTCATTTGTGTATAGTTTCTTGATAATCTGAAACCAGTAGACATCTAGGTTTCAGAATGTTCCATTAGTTTTTTTTCTTTTGGCCTCAAGTGTAATTTGGTAGTGCAATCAAAAGGTGTTGAGTTTGCTTGAACTGCAAATCTACTTAAGGTGACAGAGTTAGTTTGTTAAAAAAAAAGAAAGAAAAAAGATTTTTGTTGGCGTTTAAGACAGCAGGCAGACTGTATAAAGTGTTATGTACATGAATAAAAGTGTCCTTTATTTGTATCTTAATATCCAGTGTGAGTTAAGGCTAAGATGTGGATTCTGCAGGATAGAAGTCTACACGGTCTGAGATGGTATCAGAAACTATGAAATGTTATCGGTGGAATCAGGAACTGTGATCGTTTTTATTAGAGAAGAGAATTCTCTGTTGTTGTTGTTGTTGTTTTGTGTGTTTTATGTTCTTATTTTGGCTCCTTTCTCTTTTTTTTCAAAGCAAGGTATCAATTTACAGAAGCGCTGAGGTCAGGTACTCACTGAAAGGTTGAACAGATTTCATGTTTGAATTTTATTCTGCAGCTTTAGATGACATCTCAAGCGTTGCAGTTTGTATGTTCTCGTAGAAACCTTATGAAATTGCTCATGATGCAAGATATTATGACAAAGGCTTTGTGCTGTATGAGATCATGCCTTCGTGGAAAGGAGGAAAAGTCGGTCAAGTAGTTTCAGGTATTTTCTTTTGTCTCTGTGTTGACTGGTCTATCAATGCGTTTTATTGCCACTTCAATAATTTATTTCAAATAGAGTCCACGGCTCTTGAAGACTAATTGCCTTACCGTTGCAACTTTTTTTTTTTTTAAATGATGTAAATATGATTCATTCACTGATTTTTAGCTCATGTCAGAACACATCTATTGAGAATACATCAGCATAGAAGTCTACTGTGTGTATGTAAAATAAAAATAAAAAAGCTCTACTAACTACCGTTCTTAAGCCAAGAAGACAGCTGCGGTGTATCAGAACATTGGTGGCTTCTGCTGTATATATCCATACAGGCTCTTCAAGCATGTCTTTAGATTCAAAGCTGTGCCTATGTTGTTTCTGTCTACTCAAATCTGTTTTTCTTCTTTCTTTTCTTCGTTGAGTTCTCAGACCCTGATGCTTTATATCTTTTTTAATGAATCTGAAAGAAATGTACATTTGAAAATAAACTCAATAAAATGATACTTCAGGAGATTACTGCTGACATTGCAACTTATGGGACTTGTGATTATTTTTATTGATTAACTGTGCTTTCAGGTATATAGATTATTATGGGCCAGATTTACTAGACAGGACTAATAAGCACAAGAACATATACAATCTATTAAAATGATAGATTTTAAATTAAAGACAGATGTGTGTACGTATATATGTGTATGTATATATACTCAATAATAACTGTTCACAGCTTTTCATTGCAAACCTTTGTTACTGTATGTTCGGGATAAAAGCATCCACTGAATTAAACTGCTGTAAAAATACATCAGATAAATATTTTTTTCTTTTTTTCTTTTGCCTAAATCTGTTAATCAACCTCTGCCCTGATCAAAAATACTAAATTGTTTAGAAAATTGCAGGATTTTAATTGCCAAGTTCACAAATGATGTCACTGATTTGGTGTAAAAACACAACACAAACACAAAACAATGTATTTTCAATTACTAATTGTGAACTGGATTTTTTCCCTTTTATCACAGCCTTGAACCTGTGAAAGATTACTAACAAAATTGGCTTTGATGCAGTGTTAGATTTTCATTTTTTCTCCCTAATTTTCTGTTGGTGGCTGCTTTTGCCCTATTGACTTCCATTATATCCACATTAGATGGTGCATAACTACAGTCTTTGTTTTTGTTTACTCCATGTAGTTCTGAATGCTGAGATTTTCTCAGACACATCAAGGTAAGTGCGTAAATATCACTCACACACACACACACACACACACACACACATACGCTTTAATTTGCTGTTAAACAATATATAAAATCCAGAAACTAAGCTTTCTTTCTTTATAAAGGGTTAACAGTGCTGACTCATGATCACCAGTAAAAATTACTAATAACCACCAACAATCAAAACTGCATGATTATATGGTGTCATGGTTTTGCAATCAAAATAATGCAGTTATAATGAAAATATGGCAAAAACAGCCACTGACAGTAAATTAGGAAGAAAAAAAAGAAAATTAATCAGAACAGCGCATCAAAGGCGATGTTTCACATGTCCAAGACTGTGATAAAAGGTTTTAAAAAATCCAGTCCACAATTACTTTTACTATTGAAAAAACAAAATGTAGTATTTTTTTCACCAATCAGTGACCTCATTTATGAATTTGGCAATTAACCCTTTGACTGACCCTTTACCAAACGGTTGACCATGTTTTTACTGTTTTAAAGTCTTTTAAAGAACAACTGTTTTAAATAATGGGTTACACACACAGCATTATTGGTTTACAAAAGAAAAATCAAACAAACATAATCTTGTTGCACTACTACACTTGATTTTGGTTTTATTATAAAAATAAAACCCAAGAAAGCATTTTAAATGACAAACTGAAATATTTAATGGCATATGTCAAAAAATAAAGACGATTTAGTATTTAAAAATGTTTTATTTTGATGATACTTTTAAATAACTTGGTCTTACACTTCATATTTTCATATTTTTCAGAGTATATGTAATAATTCCGATACTTTTACCATAAGCTAACATATATACCATTTGGTAAAGATGCATTTTTACAGCAGTTTAATTCAGTCGATGCTTTCAATCAGAACATAACAAAAGGGTAGTAAATTTGCCCAGAGGGTATCATTGAGTTTTTTTTTTTTTTTTTTTTAATTCAAAGCATTTTCTCAAGATATGTTTTTTAAAAGAGGATTTGTCACAAAAAAATCATTCCGCTAGCTGAAAAAGAAAAGCTTGTGGCCATATTAAGACCTAAAATCCCCCCAGAGTGGATGAAAAAATCCACCAACAGTGCATAAGAGTTGACTTCAGTGAATCCTGACAGTAATATTTTTAGCAGGTTATGGGTAATTCTGACCCCTGTGGGCTAATGTTATATGATATATATCTGTTCTTATAATTAAGCCACAGCGGCAATCATAGGTGATTTCATGCTTCATCTTAATTTAAATGTAACTTTTCACAGGTATGAGAAGTAGACATTTCTCTTTAACACTTTTTAATGAAACAAGTATCCAAGTATCTTTACAGAATTCTTTTCATCAGTAACGAAGGGAATTTTTTTTTCAATAAAACATGTTTTTTGTAGACTAAATAAAATGATGATGAACTGAAAGAAGTTTCATTAATTAAAATATATAACATTATGCATATTTAACATTCTTTGCAATGTAGATGTAGGGATGCTCCGATCAATCGTCTGGAGATCGGTATCGGCCGATAATCAAATTTATTGACTTGATCTCTACTCACTGATCAGGATGATCTCATGAACCTACAGTATCACAAGTGTTTGTGTTAGCTGGAGATGAAGAAAATATTTGAATGACCTTGCATGTGTTTAGGCCTTTTTACATATATAAACTGAAAGAACTTCTGTGTTTTTGACAATATTGCAAGTTTAGTAAAAGCTGGCTGGAAATATTAGAAAAATAAAACTTTAAAAATATATATTTTTAACTTGAATACTTAGTAATATAATTTGTAATTTACTTATTGCAATAAACAGTAGTTAATAGGCCTATTTCCTCTCATTAAAGAAGTAATGGGTTTATGTGTGTGTGTGTGCATCAGGTCTTTTTTTTTAATAAGAGATGTTGGATTCTTCTTCCATTATTTGCAGTGTTTCCAAATTGCATAGTTTGTAATTTAAATTTTTTTATCTATTATTTTCAGTAAAGCTTCTTCTGACCATGACCTGTTGACATCTAAACTATTATAAGAAACGTGTTTAAGGGATTATTTGCAGCATCCTTAATTTCTTATCTTAGGTAAGGAAAAAACTCCACTTACAGTAAATATCATACTTAGAGGGGAAATTTGCTTTATGCATTACAAAGCTTAAAGTATCAGAATTGGTTCTCTGTATCGGCCGATCACCCTGACAGGGAATCTGTACTTGATATCGGCTGCAAAAATCCTGATCGGAGCATCCCTAATTAGAGGTGTTTATTTTTACATGAAAAAAATATGTACGTGTGCTTCAAGTTTTATCAGGGTGTATTCTATCATTTTGTTGAAACTTATTCTCTTCTTTTGACATGCAAAAAAGGAGATATGTACACACCAAATGAATGGGATTCTGAGCCACATCTCAACATCCTAAAAGATATAAAAATAAGTACAATCTGAATAGTTACGTATATTAAACGTCATGCTCCCTTTCCATAGCAACATATTGATCAAGTGGGAACGCTGACCTGTGCTCTTGCATGCAGCAGTTCATCTCATGGAACTTATAAAAATAGATACATTTATTACATAAATGATCAAAGAAGCCAGTTCTTGCATCTTTCAATTTGCTTAAATTTCACACACGCACATGCTCAGAAGAAGAACCGTTACATAATGACTGAAAATAGAATTAACTTTAATTAACTGGACAAGTTGAAAAAAGGCTAATGATACCTAATGATATGCCATTCAGTTAAAAAATAACTTAATTTTTTTAAAGTTTAACAGATTTTACTTCAAATATGATGGGTTTATTCTTGTGTAGTAAGCAATGCTTGTTACATTTGCCAAGTAGTTTAAGTTAAGCACAAATTCTGTTTGTCTAAGGAAGTGTCATAACTATGCTCAACACAATGTTAGTTAAGGAGTTTCTGTCCTAACCATCTGTAACGCACAAAATTTCTATTTTAGAAAAGGTTTCTATTTCTGCAATGTCAAGGCTGAAAGCCAGCACAAACTACTATGACCATGAATACCTCAGGTACTGATTATGTGCTTTATTCAGTGTTAATACCTACCAATGTGCGCTTGAGTACCATTATACTTGATATCGTATAGTTTGCAAATAAAAATGAGTGAGTGCAAACTAACAAATTACAGTAATCATGTACTTTTAATAATGTTAAAGAGGTTTTATATGTTTTAAATAGATTATAATCCTTACCATTTATTTGTGAGCATAGTTCTCTATTTTGCGCTGAATTCAATTTAATCTGTCATGTCGAGTCTGGTGCGAACACACAAATGACTTTTTGTTGGAATCTTGTCCCATCACTTACAGTTAAGACACGGTGTAAGTTGGGAATGCAACGGTTCTCTGTTAAAAATCGCATCTTCCCGTTGTCCTCCCGCATCCTGTGATCCGCAGCTCAAAATATGCATTAATAATATTGGTTTAGTGACAATTGTCGTATTTTGTCGTACAATTGTAAATTAAAAAAAGTTCTGCTTTTGGACACTTGCGATTACCTTTCGAGGAACTGTCCAATTACCTCTTAGTATTTAAGTCTGTTGTTGACATCACGTTTCCTCACGTAGCAAGTGAAGGAGATACAGCCCAAATCATTAAACGGATAAATGACTGTTAATGAACATGCGTTGTTGCCTTGGTAATGCAAGCATAATGTAAACAGAAGTAATCAATACTCTAAAAGTGCTCAATTATTAAGATGTGTTGACAATTATTATTATCTGCATAATTGGTTGAGACTAAGTCAAGATGTAAAATAGAAAAATGTTATCATTTTATTTGAACATACAATTTTCAAAATGCCTAACTTTTATTTCCTTTATGAGAGAACAAGCAAATCTACAGTCATGTGTGAGGCCTGTTGTATTGTCAGGTGTTTGTTACTCAATAAATATGTATATTGTTCTTTGAATTTTTCGGTAGCTATTTTTTTTCTAAACATAGCACATACCGTACTGAAACCGTGACCGTAAAACTGTGATGCATACCGAACCATGAGTAGATTAAACCGTTGCACCCCTAGTGTAAGCAGTTTTGTTTTTGCCAATTCTGGCTAACCGATAAACCAATGGGAGCATTTATTTTAAATAAAATGACTACTATAAAGCACAAACCTCATCTTAGGGGAAACGCACCAACCATCTTTTTTGTTTGACCAAGTTTCGAAGAGTCAAGATGTCTTCATTGAAGCTGTGAAACCCTCAAATTTGTCATTAGAACTGAGGCTTTAAATCTCAGTCTTTTGTGGTTTGCTCAACATGAGTGGTTTCGTGGGATGCAAGCACCATGGTGAGAGTTAGTTTTGGCATGTCTTGATGAACAG